TGAGATTAAACTATTAGGTCAATGTATGGAATTTTAATAACAACATAATCAAAGTTGTATAGCATATGGGCTCCATTAAATGAATCACAGAAGATGACTACACAAAAATATTAATAAAAAAAATGTTGTTCCTCAAACATTCCAACAAGACAGTATTGTATCCCAATATATATTTGAATCAAAACTTCTTGAAGTGTTCCATGAGAGAGGAAAAGCCAAAGCTTTAGCCTTTCGCAATCCAAAGTCCAATTAGCTTTAGAAAAATGAAAAGGAATCACACCTCACCCTGACATGTCTCGTGAACTGCGGACAAAAAGCGTTTTTAATAAATATATAAATATATAACAATAGAATGTACCCCAAAAGATAAAAAAATAAAAAATCAACGTTGAGTAGTCTCATTCACATGCTTATCGTTTTAGCTTTCGATATGGTTTGGTGGGAGTAGGAGGGATTGATTGATTAGAAAAATCTAACGTAGTGTGGAATCCATAATGTGATTATGATGTAGCTGATGCACTATTAATTTTTTCATATAATGTGATTTTATTTTTATTTTGGGTGCATTAATTATATTTCACAACTCAAACTAATTAGAAATTTTTTATCTTTTAATAATAATAATAATAATAAGAGTATCAATAGGTCATTTAGGTCATTTATAGGTCTTTAGTTTAGGTTAAATGCTAAATTTGATCCCTTAACTTTAGTGAGTTGCACATTTTTGGTCCCTTAACAATTTTTTGCATTTTTTTGATCCCTCAACTATACGAAATGCACTCCATTAGTACTTCTATCAATTTGGGCCGTTAAGTCCGCCATGTGGCATTTTTTAATGTTTTTTTTTATGATATGGCAAAAACAACATTAAAAAGTGCTGATTTGGAATTTTTTTCGATGACGTGTTCGATGCCAACTCATAAATTAAATTTGTTTAGGATTTATATTTTTAATAAAAAATAAAAAAGCCCAACTCATCTTCTTCGTTTCTTTTTTTTTTTTTTCTTCTTTCTTCCTCTTCTTTTTTCCTCTTCTTCCTCTCGACTCATCTTCTTCATTTCTTTTTTTTCTTCTTCTTTCTTCCTCTTCTTTCTTCCTCTTCTTTCTTCCTCTTTTTCCTC